CGTCGTGAGCGTTTGAGCCGCTGGTAAGGGGAGAAGCAGCGTGCACGGCTGCAGGAAATCTCACTGAAAAAAGCGAGCTGGAATGAACACAGAAAATGCTGAGGCCTCTCGCAAGTTCTTGACCTCTCGCTATAGCTCCACAGATCGCTCCGCGTCCTAAAGTTGTACTACCACGTCGCCAGTTCTCATCTTCCAGCTCCGCGCACTCCAGTTGTACTACCAAGTCGCCACTTCTCATCTTCCAGCTCCCCAGATACTCCGCGTACTAAAGTTGTACTAGAAAGTCGCCAGTTCTCAGCTTCCAGCTCCCCAGCTACTCCGCGTACTAAAGTTGTACTAGAAAGTCGCCAGTTCTCAGCTTCCAGCTCCACAGATTGCTCCGCGTACTAAAGTTGTACTACCACGTCGCCAGTTCTCATCTTCCAGCTCCACAGATTGCTCCGCGTACTAAAGTTGCACTAGAAAGTCGCCAGTTCTCATCTTCCAGCTCCCCAGCTACTCCACGTACTCAAGTTGTACTACCAAGTCGCCAGTTCTCATCTTCCAGCTCCCCAGATACTCAGCGTACTCAAGTTGTACTACCAAGTCGCCACTTCTCATCTTCCAGCTCGCCAGATACTTCGCGTACTAAAGTTGTACTACAAAGTACACCTCTCGCCTGCATTTCGCGCGCTCGACACGCCCGATCTCCGCAGAGGGTTGCGCGCGCACAGACCCAATCGCACTCTCTCCTGCATTTCGCGCACTCGACACGCACGATCTCCGCAGTGGGTTCCGCGCGCACAGACTCAATCGCCCTCTCGCCTGCATTTCGCGCACTCGACACGCACGATCTCCGCAGAGGGTTGCGCGGGCAGCCGGCAAATTGCACTCTGGCCTGCATTTGGCGCACTCGACACGCACGATCTCCGCAGAGGGTTGCGCGCGCACCGCACCAATCGCACTCTCGCCTGCATTTCGTTCACTCGACACGCACGATCTCCGCAGAGGGTCACTTTCGGTTGACGCTGTTCGTCCCACCCTCCGCCTTCAAGAGAGAATTTATAAAGTGGGGAATGTTTTTTCATTAGGACATCTCCCGTGCTAGTTTTCCATGCTCACACTTGCCTACTCATTGCATGCTTGCATACTCATTGCATGCTTGCATACTCATCATTGCACTTGCATCAGTACACTTGCATACTTACACTTGCATACTTTGCACTTGGATGCTTTCGCTCTTCCACTTACACTGCATGTCACGCCTGTACTTGTTCATGTTGTAGTGCAAGTGTGGTGGAAGTGTCAGTGTGTAAGTGTAAGTATCGAAGTGTCAGTGTTCAAGGGATTTTCCGGAAGAACCCTTCGCAATGCTTTCGGGAAAAAAAGAGAATCTACGGAGGAGGGAGACCGCCTCCTGGATTTTTTGGAAAGAAACTGGGGAGAGTGACCACCCCCTGGTTAGCTCGCGCTCTATTGTGTATAGTTGCATTGTATAGCGCGATTCCAGGAA